TCAGTTCTGTTTTTCAGGTTTAAAGAAGTAATTGTATCAGTTTTTTGTCATTATTGAAGTTGGAACTAATTTGAATTAATTGTGTGTTATGTTTTTCATGTTTAAGAAGTATAATTACTAACTGTATGTATTTTCTCATTGAAAGTGGAAATAATTTGCACAGATTTTGTGTTTTGTTTTTCAGGTTACAGACAGTAACTATTGTCTTATTGAACTTGGAACTACTTTGAATAAATAGTGGATTTTTTTTTTTTTGGTTTTGTTTTGTTTTTTCAGGTTCAAGAAGTTACTAATTGTATGTATTTCTCATTGAAATTGGAACTAATAGATTGTGTCTTTTGTTTTTCAGGTGAAAGACAATATATATATCCATTTTCTTGCATTAAAATTGAAACTTATTGGAATAGATCATGTGTTTGTTTGTTTGGTTTTTTTTTTCAGGTTATAAACAGTAACTGTATTTTCTCATTGAAATTGGAACTAATCTGCATATATTGTTTTTTGTTTTCAGTTTAAAGACAGTAACTAATGTATTTTTTTTTATTGAAGATACAACTTATTTGTAGATGATTGTCTGTCTGTCTGACTGTTCGCTTCAGGTCCCATTAATACAATTTGCAGATATTAAAGCAAACCTATAAATGGGTTGTTTATACTGCAGATATTTCAGCAAACCTATAAATGCTTTTTTTATATAATGCACACTTCAGAAGCTGCATATTGAGAGGTATACCTTTCAGGCTTATCATTGACTATTGTTTAGGATTAAACTGTCTTTAGTTTCATCTGACAAAAAGATTGAGAATTAAAAATTATTTTGATAACCAAACTTGACCTGGTATATTTTAATGATTATTATGAATGTAAGAATTAGCATTGGGATGCACACATTGAATCAAAATTAACAATTAATGTAGTATTGTACACGACATTTCTGTGATATATATGGGATTATTGGAATTTATTGTAGTATTGTACACATGACATTTCTGTGATATATCTGGGATTATGGGAATTTATTGTAGTATTGTACACATGACATTTCTGTGATATATCTGGGATTATGGGAATTTATTGTAGCATTGTACACTTGGCATTTTTATGATATATCTGGGATTATGGGAATTTATTGTAGTATTGTACACATGACATTTCTATGATATAACTGGGATTATGGGAATTTATTGTAGTATTGTACACATGGCATTTCTGTGATATATCTGGGATTATAGGAATTTATTGTGGTATTATACATATGGAATTTTCTATGATACATCTGGGATTATGGGAATTTATTGTAGTACATGTATTTTACACATGACATTTCTTTGATATATCTTGGATTATGTGAATTTATTGAACAGTAGTATTGTACACATGACAATTCTATGATATATCTGGGGTTATGGGAATTTATTGTAGTATTGTACACATGGCATTTATTGTAGTATTGTACACATAACAATATTCTATGATATATCTGGGGTTATGGGAATTTATTGTAGTATTGTACACATGACAATATTCTATGATATATCTGGGGTTATGGGAATTTATTGTAGTATTGTACACATGACAATATTCTATGATATATCTGGGGTATGGGAATTTGATGTAGTATTGTACACATGGAATTTGTTGTAGTATTGTACACATGACAATATTCTATGATATATCTAGGGTTATGGGAATTTATTGTAGTATTGTACACATGACAATATTCTATGATATATCTGGGGTAATGGGAATTTGATGTAGTATTGTACACATGGAATTTGTTGTAGTATTGTACACATGACAATATTCTATGATATATCTGGGGTAATGGGAATTTGATGTAGTATTGTACACATGGAATTTATTGTAGTATTGTACACATGACAATATTCTATGATATATCTGGGGTTATGGGAATTTATTGTAGTATTGTACACATGACATTTTCTATGATATATCTGGGGTTATGGGAATTTATTGTAGTATTGTACAGATGACATTTTCTATGATATATCAGGGGTTATTGGAATTTATTGTAATATCAGACCTGGAAACCCTTCCACTTTTGGCATAATTCTTCTGCTTTCTAAAACTAAAATAAGTTGTTATGCCATGACAATCAATTTTATGCATTTAAAATTTTTATGCTGAAAAAATGCATTATTTAATATTTTTTGGTTGGTCAGTTATGATTATTGCTTCCTTTGTATCATACTTTAACAGTACCATAAGCTCAAGAAGTATTTAACACAATTTATTGAATATCTTCTCGCTCAATTTAATGCTAGTAGGTTGTAATTAAATGTAAACTGTAATTTGCAATGACTTAATGAATGTTAGAATGTCGTCGTTTTACAACAAATGAAGTTAATGTTAATAATGAATGATTTAAAACGTTTTTACTCTCTTCATTCTATGATATTTAGCAGGCAGAATTGTTTAGATGAGATAGAAATGCAATGAGATGACAAAATTGTAAAATTTGAAGAATTACGCTTTTGCCTCTGAAATTCCACCAAAATTAAGCTTTAGACTTCATTTCTGCAATGAAAAGGGTAGGCAGGTCTGTTGTGTTGTACACAACATTTTCTGTAATATCATCTGGGGTTATGGGAATTTGTTGTATTATTGATCACATGACAATATTCTATGATATATCTGGGGTAATGGGAATTTATTGTAGTATTGTACACATGACAATATTCTATGATATATCTGGGGTTATGGGAATTTATTGTAGTATTGTACACATGACAATATTCTATGATATATCTGGGGTAATGGGAATTTATTGTAGTATTGTACACATGACAGTATTCTATGATATATCTGGGGTTATGGGAATTTATTTTAGTATTGTACACATGACGATGTTCTATGATATATCTGGGGTAATGGGAATTTATTGTAGTATTGTACACATGACAGTATTCTATGATATATCTGGGGTTATGGGAATTTATTTTAGTATTGTACATGTGATGTTTTCTATGATATATCTGGTGTTATGGGACTTTATTAGATTGTACATAAGTTATTATCTGTAATTTATCTTGGGGTTTTGGAATTTATTGTAGTATTGTACACATGACTGTCCCATCTATGGTTTATTTGAAGTAATTGGAATTTCTTGTAGAATTGCCACATGACAATTTCTTTGGGATTATGGAAATTTATTGTAGCATTGTATTTATGACATTTTCTCTGATTGATCTGAAGTTATAGGAATTTGGCATGATATTGTACAAACATTTTCTGAGAATTATATGGGGTGTGTAATGAAAATGCCATGGAGTGGAGAAATTCTAGATGCTCTTGAAAGTTAATTGTTGGCCATGGAACTGTAAATGCTGACCTCTGTCTAAGCAAGGAAACTGTTAAGGTCACAATGAGTTTGGAATTGTGTGGATATACATGTTCAGTTCACTTTTTATCTGAGACCCAACAGAATACTGTACAAGAAGAGGCAAAGGAAACGGACTGAAGACATGAAGGCGCTGAAGACAAGAAGCGATACCAGTTTTTGTATAAATACAGAAGCCAGTGCAGGTATGTTATTTACAAATTTGTTAATTAAGAAAGCTCTGAATACTTCTTACTGAAGAGTTTTGATTCTAAGGAAGTTATGCAGTTGGAATGATCTGCCCTGTTTTGTAAAATGGAATAAACAGAAACAATTTTCAGTAAATGACACAATATAAAAATGACTACTTGTATCCATAATATATTGGACCAAGATAAAGATCTTTTTTTTATAAAAAAAACGTGTATATTTCCTTAATAAATTAGTAAACATCAGTGATTTTTGTTCCATAATACTTTTTTGGATATTTTACCTGGAGAAATACGGCAAGCACCTTTTGTCAAAGCTGAAGAAGATAAAAATCTACATTTTTATAATTGTATGATATAATTATTGATTTTCTTAATAGTGATCAGAAAACATTTTCATACATGTTTATAAGAGCTTTCTTAAAAAGATCTATTTAACCATGATTTTGTGGGAATAAATGATGTACGTATTAATATCCTGTTGTACAATGTAATTAAATTATGCCAGAAGAATGACAAGTAGATGTCTCTTACAGCCAAGATCGACACTGATGGTAATCCCCATCTAATGAACATCCTGCTAACTTGACCTTAAATTTACCACCATTCATACCAGAAGTTTGAAATCAATGGAGAGGAGAGTGGCTATGGAGAAATATGCTGAGGAAAACATGAAGAAAGAAAACATGACGGCCTTAGTGAAAGAAATGATATTGTAAGCAAAATTATGATTTATAGAAAATACCTCTTACGAGGTAATTAATTTAAATGTAGTCTGTAGTTCAAAAATATTTTGTGAACCCTATTTTAGCAAGATGATTTTTTGATGCATGTATTCTTGCAAAGTGAAATTTTAACAAAATTAGTTAATGATTTACAAATTCATCCTTTCTGAATTAAATATATATATGAGAGTAAAATATTCACTAACAGAATTCTTTCATAAGTACACAAAAATAAAGTTATTGAAAAAAAAGGTGATTTAAAGTATAGATGTAAATACTGTAACCCAACTATTATTCATGTTATATCTTTTATTCGTGACTCGTTAGTTTCAAATCGATCTGCGACGATTAATTTTTGCAAATGAGGAATTATTCTATACAAATACAAAGCAAAATAAATGGTTCGCGGTGATTAATATTCACGAGTTAAAGTAGGTTGTGAAATTCGCAAATATTTCTTGCACGCGAATAATAGTTGGTTTACAGTAATTAACATACAGTACATTTATAATTATAAGACAATTTTTTTATTTTAGGGCTATTTCACAGAAGAGGAGGGAAGAATTCAAGAAGTTTTTCGGGATTTAGAGTTAGCTAAAATTTAAGATGGATTTTTTGGTAAATTTAAAATTTAACTTTTTATCATATTAAAAAATTATTTAAAGATGAAGGAGCAGCATTTATCAGTAATGCTAACTTCTGTTATGTTTCTCTTCAGAGATGTGATAATTATAGACTGGTAGAATTTATCTGCTGTGAAATTGACCAGGATGTATTTGACTGCCTTGATCAACTGTCCATATAATCATTATGGTAAATATCAAAATTCAATTTTAGCCATCAGAACACTTGCCAAATAATGCCAATTTTTAATCCTAGCTAAAATTTCTGCTTTTGCATGTAGTAATGCGTATTCATGAATGCTTAATATTCACGAGAATATAATTATTTTAATATTTAATTAGTTCTGGAGGGTCCAAACTCGAACCTAACATTCTTGAGGTACTACAAGCCTTAGGAGAGAAGCCATTTGCCAAAAAATGTCCAAAATACATTTGAAGTGATGATCATCATCAACGGTAATTTTTTTATTTTAAAGATTACTACGTACTGTATTGTTAAAAAATGCGTAGAACGCAGGTATGGATTCTGGCAGAGGTGCTTCATACGCTTGGCCCCTCTAAAACAAAAAAATAAGAGATAATTTTCATTGTCTTACATTGATGCAAGACAGTCATTTATGATATTGATATAAAGTCATTTATGTGCTAAAATAAGATTCTACAAATTGTGAACTATCAGGAGCTTGGGGGGGGGGGGGGGGGGCTTTTCCCCAAACCTCCAACTGGACCCTGCCTCTCTGGGACCTCAGCAGAACCAATGCCCCTTGCCATTTTAAAGCACCTTCTCTGGGAAAGCAAAATCCTGGATCCACACCTGAAATGCACTTGTGTGAAAGATTTTCTAATTTAAATTTTGATATAGTTCTGGAAAGCTAGGCTTTACTCATGATGTCTGTCATTACAGAGTTTGAGCTATGTTTTATTAATTTTTTTCTTTCGCGAACAAACAGTCTAACTTTTATTATTGTAGGATAATAAAGTTCTTGTGAATAAAAAGGGATTAATAGTTCTAGTCTTGAAAAATTTACTTCTTCTATTCAATTAAAGTTATTGAAATAAAGTCAGTTAATAATCAACATGAATTATTATTACATTTACACATTTAAATGATTCTCTTCTAGAAGGTTTATTCCAGAATTGGCATAGATCAATGAATAATATTGAAAATAACCTTTAAATCATTTTAAAAATTTTTTAACGTATTTGGTTCTTTTATTATTTCAGGCTTTGGGTGAAGGTTGTCTGTAATTGCCAAGTCAACATTTACCAAGCCAATATCTGGTGCCTCTCGCAAGCTGAAGAATATATAGAAAAACCAACATTCATCACATTTGATCTTGCAGCTACCAGACTTGGTAAGTTGTTCAACTAAGATCCTAGTTTTGGCAAAAGTGGTTGTTTCTATCATTATCTATCATTAACTTTGTCTAAAAACTTGTATGTTAAATATCACAGTAAAAAATGAAAATAAAAGGGGGGGGGGGGTATTTCTATAGACTAAGAACATTATTTTAGGCAAAATTGGGTTGTTTCTATTATTATTATCTGCATTAATACCCTTAATACTTGTACTTTATATATCATGGTAAAAAAATATAATTTAATATTGTATTTCTATAGTGTTGGACAAGGAGCCTTGCCCTGTATTACTCGAACTGGAGCGGTGGAGGTAGAGTCCGGGGATATTTTCACTATCTGTGTTCTTCCCAGAATTCCTATATGACCTGGAGGTAGACTCGGGAGATATCAAAATTTCACTGTCGTGTTCTTCCAAGAATTCCCTTAGAGTCTGGAGCAGAGCAAACCACCAGAATAGTCTGCAATGGAACCTTAGTTTTTGCTCATGGATAATTTTGACAACTTTATTGTATTATTGTACAGACGGCATTTTCTAGGGTTAAGGAAATTCAGTGTAGCATTGTACTGACATTTTTATGAATTATCTTCGGTTACGAAAATTTAATTTTGTATTGTTTACTTGATATTTTCTAGGATTTATCTGGAGATATAGAAATTAATGCATTATTGTATATACTTTATATGATTTATTTGGGCTATTTTAATTATTCAACAGTATAACTCTCTCTGTGGTAAGTTATGTGTAAGTTATTTTTCTTTGAATTGTCTTGAATTAATATGAATTTTATACAGTATTGTATACTTTATTATTTCTATGATATACCTGGGGTCATTGAGATTATGGGAATTTATTGTAGTATTGTATACTTTATATGATATTTCGGGGTTATTTGGGATGATGGGAATTTATTGCAGTATTGTATACCTAATAGTTTTTATGATGTATGTGGAATTAAGTGGGATTATAGGGATTTCATGGAGCATTGTATTCTTTATAGTTTTTATGATATATTGGGGGTTAATGGGGTTATGGGAATTTCACTTAGTAATGTACACTTTATAGTTTCTTAGATATATCGGGGGTTATTGGGGGTATTAGAATTTCATGTTGTTTTGTATTTATAGTTTCTATGATTTATTTGGGGTTGAGGGGATTAGGGAATTTCATGTAGTATTGTGTACTTTATAGTTTCTGTAATATATCGGGGGTAATTAGGGTTATGAGAATATCATGTAGTATTGTATACTTTATAGTTTCTATGATTTATTCGGGGTTAATGGGGTTAGGGAATTTCATGTATTATTGTGTACTTTATAGTTTCTGTAATTTATAGGGGGTAATTAGGGTTACGAGAATTTAGTGTAGTAGTGTATACTTTATAGTTTCTATGATTTATTCGGGGTTAATGGGGTTAGGGAATTTCATGTAGTATTGTATACTTTATAGTTTCTGTAGTATATAGGGGGTAATTAGGGTTACAAGAATTTAGTGTAGTAGTGTATACTTTATAGTTTCTATGATTTATTCGGGGTTAATGGGGTTAGGGAATTTCATGTAGTATTTTGAACTTTATAGTTTCTGTAATATATGGGGGTAATTAGGGTTACGAGAATTTAGTGTAGTAGTGTATACTTTATAGTTTCTATGATTTATTCGGGGTTAATGGGGTTAGGGAATTTCATGTAGTATTGTATACTTTATAGTTTCTGTAATATATAGGGGGTAATTAGGGTTACAAGAATTTAGTGTAGTGGTGTATACTTTATAGTTTCTATGATTTATTCGGGGTTAATGGGGTTAGGGAATTTCATGTAATATTGTATACTTTATAGTTTCTGTGATATATTGGGGGTTATTGGGGTTATGGGAATTTATGTAGCATTGAAAAGTTAATAGTTTCTATCATTTATATTATCTTTGGTTATAGGGATTTGTGTGGTTCTCATGCAGTATTGTATACTGTATAGTTTCAGAATAATAGAGTATTGAATACTTGTCTTTTTTTTTTTTTTTTTTTTTTTTTTTTTTTTTTACAAATTTTGTCTTTTTTAATCAATGAGTTATCTAGCATTCTTGGAATTAATTATTGTAGTATTGTGCATTATTATTAGTATTATGTCATTATTTTTTTTGGATTTTTGGAATTTAATGTAGTACAGGTGTATTGTTTTGTATACATTACATGTGTAGGGTTTATCTGGGGTTTATGGGCATTTAAAGTTAAGTATTTTACACATCACATTAAACTATGGGATTTTGTTGTAGCATCACACACATGGCATATTTCTGTAATATATCTAGGTTATAAAAATTTATTGTAGTATTACACACATATAACATTTTCTCTGATTTATCGGGGGAGGGGGGTGGGGCATAGATTTATTGTTTAACTGTACATGTGACAATTTCCATAATTGATCTGAAGCTATAATTATAAGGTTATGGGAATTAATGGCCATATTACACACATTACACTTTCTCTGATTTATCTCGGGTTATGGGGTTTAGTTATAGTTTTGAACACAGGATATTTATTGATTTAGGGTTTTGGGAATTTAATAAATTATTTTACACCTGACATTTTCTATGAATTAATTATGGGGTAATGGAATTTAAATGTAGTATTATACATATGGTTATAAGAATTTAATGTTATATTGTACATATCATGACATTTTCTATGATTGACCTTGGGATATGTAAATTTTTTGTTGTATTGTATGCTTGTTAATTTTATAAAGTATCTGTGCTTTTGTAAATTTAATTTTGTATTGTAGACTTGAATTTTTTTTTAATGATTTTGTCTGGGGTTATACAGGAATTTATTGTAGTACTGCACACTTCATATCATCTCGGCCTTTCAACTGCAGCTAGGGTTCGATGTTAAGAACGATATCTCATTACCGGAGCTTGTTTAGAGCAGTTTCGGGGATCTAATTGTTTTCAAGCAAGTTGGTTTTTAGCGTTTTCCAAGTCTTTCTTTGCTGTCAGTAGAATCCAGTGGTTTTAAAATTTAGCACAAATGTGAAACTTGTTTACCATGTAGTTACGGACACTGTTTAATTACATATATGTAAAAATTTAAATTAAAATATAAAGTGAAATCTATCCCCTTTCCAAGTTTTAACCTGATTCAATTTTTATACTTGGTCGTTCTTCTTCGTGCTTAGTAACACAATTAAGTAAGATAATTAATTGTTGCATTTACTTGAAGAAATATATACATTTATATAGGAAGCACAAAAATGCACACACAAAAAACATGAAATTATATTTTCTTCTTCATAACAATTGACCAAGAGAGTTAAAAATCTTGAATATAGTCCGTTCCCCATTCATTTGATCCCGTTATTTCAGGTAGAGTGAAGACATTCTCCTTCTTTTGGTCAACACTTTTGTGTACAAAACAATGTAAGGAACTCTTTTGTGTAAATAACAATACCAACTGAAGCAGCCTATATGTCATTCCTATAAACGATAACTCATAAATCGGCACTTAGTTGGTCAATTTCTACACTTGAGTTACCTGTCCTTAAAACACAACATCGTACAAGTCAATTATTAATAACTAAACTTTTTAATGATTTAATTTAAGGTATGCATAAGTAATAATCTTTTTTGATAATTTCTTGTATCTATAAATCTATCTATGAAATGTTTTTTACCATATACACAACTCGAAAAATTAGTTGAAAGGCCTATATTATCATTGATTTATCTAGGGTTTTGGAAATTCAATATAGTACACAATAAATTTTCTTTGATTTCTCTGGGATTATGGGAATTTAATGTTTTATTGTACACTTTACAATTACTATGAATCTAGGGCTATGAGAATCAAGTGTAGCATTGTACACATTACATTTTCTCGGATTTATAGCTGGGGTTATTAGAATTTATCGTGGTATGACACACTTCACATTTTCTATTATATACATGTATATGGGGTTATAGGAATTTAATATAGTATATTGAATACTTGAAAATTTTCTCTGATTTATCTGGAGTCATGGGAATCTATTGTAGTATTATACAATTGACATTTTCTATGAATTATCAATGGTTATGGGAATTCAATTAGGTATTGTGTACAGGTACTTGAAATTTTCTATTATATTTCTAGGGTTGTGGGATATTATCTTACATTATCATAATTTACTGTAGTAATGTATACTTTATATTATTTTCTATGATTTATCTGGGGTTATGTGAATTTATGGTGGGTAATGGGAATTTAATGTAGTTATTTGTTTATATTTATCTGGGGGTTGGCATATTCATTTTTTAGATCATAATCTTTGTTTTTTTATGGTATCTCATTTTCAATTCAAGTTTGTTAAATAATGTGTCTTCCATTCTTTTGTTTGTCTTGTCTCTTTTTGTTTTGTTTTTTTTTTTTTTTGGGGGGGGGGGGGGCAAGGGAAGCATAGGAATTTAATTAATGTGGATTTTGCTTATTAATAACATTGTATATTGTATTAAAAGATGTTGCTTTGTTTTCATGTGGTTGATTAACATTTACATACATCTACACATAGAAACAATAATGAAATTTGCAGGCATACATTAATGTCTATATAATGTTTGATCTTTTTCAGTGTCACACACATGTGTCATTAAGTAGGTAAAAGTAATAGGGATTGACCAACTTGTTTTAGGTGTGCATTATGGGAGAGAATTAAGTTTTGTTCAGAGATTAGAACTGGTATGTAAATCAAACTTGCAGAGAATCAAAGTATAATAAGACAAATATGTCTTGGGAATGCGTTTGATGAGTTAATTGTTAATTAAGCTTGTTAACGATGAAATGTCTTTCCAGAACTGAACATTCAAACATTTTACAATGCATCTATGGATGTTTATACTGATGCTTGCAATGGATTCTGAATAAGCCCTACATGTGCTTTAGACACTCATGCAGTGCAGTGTGATAGAGCTGCCTTTCTATGATGTTCTTTAAGTTGTATCGAACCCATGTTTGCACATATTGTGTGCCTACACATGAATGCTTTGCCCTAATGCAGCTTTGTATGCTGCATCTGACCTATATTTTATGACACAATCTACACTGTTTCATAAATTACTTGCTTTTGTTGCAAGTCGATGAGAACCAGTTTAGCTCATCAGGTACATCCACCTTAAGCTTTGTTTTTCAGATAAATCAGGATTTTGTGCATGTTAACCTTATTTTGTTACATGTAACTTGATACCTTTATATGCTTTATTATGTATTTATTGGTTTTTTATGTAAATAAATGTGTATTTATTTGTTAGTTGTGTAATTTTTTAAATGCATTTCTAATGTCATATGAAATGATTAGGTAAATGTTCATGTAGAGCTGCCTGCATGGTGCAGTGGTTAGATCTCGAGCATTTAATTGCTCCAGAGTTGTGGAGTAAAGTGTTGAACCTTAAGTCACAGATTCGAATCCCACTGTGGGATATGGAGACTGGTACTTCGGATAAGATCATATCAACCGAGGTCCCATGTCACAGTAGGTGTTGGCAAGAAAAAGATCCCTCACTGCTCTATGGCCCTGAGTGCCAGGTATAGGTCTAAAATTTACAGCCCTCCATCAGCAAGTGCTGATGTCTTAAAATGAGTGAAAAATTCTCAAAAGGGGCATTGAACAAAGAAAAGTATAAGCTGAACTTCGGTATCTGGAATAATACCATGGGTATTTTATGAAAATGTAAAAAGAAAAAAAAAGTTGTTCATCCCAG